TTTAGCTCCGTGAGCTTAAAACGAATGACACCTACTAAAGCGTTGCATATTTGAGGCGAAATCATTGAGTACTTTCACGAATACTGTGATAAAATACTAAATCTCGTCGCACAGGAATGTTGACCGCACATTTTCTGGTCCGACAGCGCAAAATCAAGAATATATCGATGGTTGAAGTGCAAAACCACGTATATTCGTTTGCAACGTTGCAGCCATCATGTCATACTTCATTTTTCCCTAGGAATTCTGTTGTCAACGTAATTTTTTGAAAACTTCCTCGAATTTTCTCTTCTGTAAGCAGAATATTCTGTGTACATTTGAATCGCATTTAGCAAAAGAGAACCAGCGCGATTGCAGTGTTGCAGAAATGTTGCTTCTTCATAATTATCAAAAAAATCTCTCAGAATAGCAAATAGCTTTTACTCTCCCCCCCNCCCCCCCCCCCCCAGGGCCGGATTAAGGAGGTGGCCACATGGGCCGCGGCCCATGGCGGCAAAATTTAGGGGGCGGCAAATTTTGCAATCTTTTTAAACGTAGGAGTAGGTATCAAAAAATGAGAGAAAACAATCGGATTCAGAAAATAAATTACAAACGAGGAAAGGCGACAAAATCTCTCATTCCCTGAGAGTAAAAGTGTGGTAATTTCTAATTTTGTCGTCTTTCGGTGATACAAGAGACAACACCTTTAATTAGTCGAGTTAAGAGAGAAACCAAACACGCAATTTGACCTGGAACGGAGTGGCGCGCGGCGCGGCGGTCGGCATGAAACACATAGCGCCTACAAGACTGCATGAATACTTCACGCATTGCGTCAAAAACACTGCGGTCAGCAGTAGTTGGCTAGAAACGCATAGCGCCTACAAGACTGCATGAATACCTCACGGACCTCACGCATTGCGCCAACACAGTGCGGTCGGCGCGGCACCGGCGGTGGAAGTTAAAATTTTTAACCACATTTATGTTTGTTCTTTCATAATTTTTTTCGTTCTTTTTTTTAAATGGAAGGCCTTGTCCAAACAGGGATGTGTTTACGGAACTGAACTTTTGTTAGCGTTGACAGGGCTTTTACAAAAAAAATGTGCCCAACACGAGTAAACGCATCTTATACACCCCTCCCCCACCGGCACGTTCACTTGATGATTCTTATAGATCGTATTCGACAGATCACACAGGTGAGATTCTATTGATATCGATTGGTTCAATATGTAACCAAAGCCTCAAAAGTCAATTTAGAAATCTGAGGTAACGGGTCTTATGTGATCGAATTTTTATTCTCTCGAGTACCAAATGGCAATGAAAAGTGAAATTGTTAGGAATTTTCTCATTTTTCTAAGGTGAATCCTAAAATTTTTGTTTTAGATTATGTTCTGTTGTTTTGAACCAAACGATACATCGAACCACTATCGAATACGATCTATTGATGTTTCAAAACAAATGAGAAGGGGGCGGAAAAATACAGGCGGCCCATGGGCGGCATGTAGGTAAATCCGGCCCTGCCGCCCCCCCCCAAAAAAAAAATTGATTATAAAGGAAAACTATTGTGTACATTTCAATACTGTACATTTATTAAGTATATTTAGAAGTGAAGAACAAGTTGCACGAATTTGGGAACACTGTAATAGTGCTGGTTCCTTTTTGCTAAATGTAATCCATTTCAAGCTATGAATTTGGCTCGTTTCTCTTCGAAAAAAATAAAATAGGAGCAGAAATTTTGAAACATCGCAATAAAGATACGCGGTTTTGCACTTTGGCTATTGGATAGTATAAAGCAAGAGGGCGCCAACTTGATTATGGAATTGTGAGACTCGTGCATCATTTTCCTTACCTTAAAAAAAGCCTGTACCAGAAAACAGTTTATTTTTCTACAGAATTTGTTTATTTCAAAGCATAAAGATCGAGTGAATTTCCCTACCGTGCGCATAGTATACGAGTATTTTACCTTTTAAACCGAAGAGGAGTTCTTAAGATTTTGAAAACACTATGCAATCGCGTTGGTTCTCTACGACGCACAGTGGATCGAGTCAATCAGAGAGGCCGTGGACATGAAATTTTTAACTAAAACTACAAATTTTCATGTTTAATTCGTCACATTTTAAATTTAAAGGAGTGTTTCTGAAAGAAAATTTCACGAGAAAACCAATGAAATCACTTTTAAGACCTCATAGTTGTGTATGAACAGAGTTATAAGCTTTTAAGGTTTCCAAATTTTGTCCGACCTCTCTCATCGACTCGATCCACTGTGCGGCGCTACTATGTGGACGGTGGAGTAGTCAGTCTCCCCCCCCCCCCCCCCCCCCCCNCACCCCTCCGACCAGAAAAATTTCTCATTGAAAGATATTATTAATGATAGTCAGGATTTTTTTACGTTTAAATCCTCACCCCCTCCTGATAAATTTTGAACTATAGACCCCCGGATCCCCCCTCACCAATGAAAAATGTTCATCCAACTGCCGCAGGGCGATGCGGGTGCAAGAGGGGAAGGGGAAGGACTTGAGAGAAAACTCATTTTTGAAGTTTGGTTCGTGTATTTGTGTGCGACGTGAAATTTTTAGCCAGCGTCAGTGCCAGGGATAAGAGACCCTCCACTAGCCTCTTGGCGACAGGTGGAAGCTTTTACTTTCGGGGATTCAACAGTTCCTTATGGACAATTATAAGGGAGCAACAGTCATCACCCTAATTTTGGCTGTTGACCTACCTACATGGTGGATGATGAGCTTCGGGTGACGTCATGAGCCAAACTAGTTTCCCAAACTTCGGCCACTTTCGGCTTGTTTGCAAAAAAAAACTGCCAACACGTTGTTAAACATCAACCATGTAGGTAAGTCAACAGTAGAATGCTGAAGTCCCGAGATTGAAAGCTTCCACCATGGCCAAGATGCGAGTGGAGGGTTTCTTGTCTCTGGTCAGTGCTCAAAATTTCGTCGAATACAACTATAATAAATTCAAAACGATCATTTCAGTTTATTCGGATAAAATTACGAACGAACCTCTGAAACATTGAAAGATAAATATTCAAAATTTCTCCAGAAAATCTGCGTTTTTCAACGTAAATTTGACAATAGCGAAAAGTTCACACGGCGTTTTTTCTTCACGCGAAACGCGTAGTTTTCATCCTCAAACTATATATCCTCCTGCACCACGAAATAAGTATAACGCTCGACGCCAATAAACATAGCAGCAGCGTGTCATGCTTTATGAAAGATCGATTGATCTGTCATCTAAATTTATGGAATCGGACCGATTATCAGGGTGTTCGCGACGAATACCTTAATTCATAATCGATTATTTACCATAGATTCAAACGGGATGACATCGATAGTCGACAGTCACATCTCGCCACCGATAAACATAGCGCAACGATTGTTGAAGTGGCGCGGCGAGGCCTGTTGATCGCCTTCAAATTTGGGGATGCAACCCAACACTGCACCGAGGTTAATTAAGTTGCATCCACCGATTGACTGTAGTTAGAATTTTGCTATGCATTCCGAAGTGGATATGAACAAGATGAGTGGGAGTTTCTAGGGGTATTCAACGCAAAACTAGAAACATGTACGTCAACTATAAACTCTAATTCTCTTGGGCTGAAACTAATTCCTATGATTCATTGTTGTGAACATTCCTTGTATATACTTAGACAGTATAAGAGGAACCTTCAAGGAGACTTTAACGCGAAGGCAGAAACAAAGAAGTCACATTCAAGTTCTCATTTCCGTAAGCTTATTTTAGTCCATATGATTCATTGATGTGTGTATTGCATGCATAGCCAATGAGGACATTTCCCTTACATTTGAGGAATTACCTATCAATAAATCGACAAATACTGCCATGGTACGGGAAAGCACCGTATGAACGATCAAATGTTGCCGAATGTCTCCCGACAAAGCACTATTTTGTAGGAAACTTTTGAATATTCTCGGAAACAATTTCAGACGATTTAGATATTAGATTGCGCACAAAACTCTCTGAACATTTTGAAGCAAATATTTCAAAATTTCTAAAGATATCTGTGTTTTAGCAACGGAAATTTGGCAGCAGCCGAGATTGCATGCAGCATTTTCCTTTGCAAGGCAGGGTATTTATGATCCCCAACCTACAGATCTATCTTCATCGTGCAAAAAGGATGATGCTGCTACATACTGCCGTGGTAAGGACAACCGCTGTATAAACCTTTAGGCGCTGCCAAAGTTCACGGTAAACTTATAAATATCTTTCCTCCAATTTTTCTAACAATTTTGTCTGCAAATTTGACCCTAAGCTCCTGAAAATTTCAAGTAAAAATGTTCATAACATTTCTGAAAGTGAAAATTTTATCGAGGGAAGTTTGGCAACTCTCGAATGCTTATACGGTGTTCTTCCTTAGCACGGCAGCATACAGGGTAACGGTTGGGGCACCAACGACGCTTGGGAAAGATATCGCTGCTAGTTCGCCTTCAAATTTTGCGATGCAACCCAACCCTACACCGAGGTTAATTAAATTGCATCCACCATTTCACTTTATCCTGAAAGCTTCTGTGTATCCTGGGAACCTATTACTTACATTTGAGGAATTAGCAATCATTTGACGGACAAGCACAGCCATGCTAAGGAAAAACGTTATATGTGCATGCGGGTGTTGCCAAATGCCTCTCGGAAAAGTACTATTTGAGAGGAAAGTTATGGGTAATTTTTTTTGGCAGTTTAGAAAATTTAGATAAAATCGCGGATAAACTTTTCTAAAAATTTGGACGGAATATATTTAAAATATGTCCCATAAAGAGAAGTGTTGGCCCAAAAGAACTGAGGTCTCCACCACGATAGTCTTTTAGCCTCGACCTTAATGCTCGTACATAGAGAAGAGACTTTTTAATTCAAATGTTTTTTGGGACCACTTTCAACTAATATTTGGGTCATGCGCAATCCTAAATTATTTCAGTATTCGGATTTTCCTGCAGGTTTTGTTTGTTTTTTTCTCATATTATTTACGTATGTTAACAGGAATTCAAATGTCATACACTATAGAATATATTCGAAAACGAAATATAAACGTCATTTATTCATATTCTCAAGACAAATTTCAGGTTGTTCATTTCCACACTTCGTTTCCATTTCCCCTATGATGAATCTGCAAGTCCGTTTGCCATAGTTTGCATACACATTAAAACTAATCGTAGTCATGGCCGGTAATTGCTCTCGATGGTTTCGCTTGTCCAACTGGTTTAGGCTTGCCCATAGTAACCGGTTTCGGATTATATTTGGCAGCTTCTCCCGCAGGAATGAGTTGAGGACCCCACGCACAAACGAGTGTGCAGAAGCCTTGAGGTGGTGTCGGGCAAGTAAATCCTCCCAATGGGACTGGAGTTGGCTTAGTTGGTACCTTAGGCGTGGTCGCTGTTACTGTTGGTTTCGTAGGCCCTTTAGTTGGTTGCTTAGTCGTGCTCGCTGCTACTACTGCTGCAGGTTTCGTAGGTCCTTTAGTTGGTGGCTTGGTCGTGCTCGCTGGTTTTGTAGGTCCATTAGTTGGTGGCTTCGTCGTACCCGCTGGTTTCGTAGGCCCTTTAGTTGGTTGCTTAGTAGTGCTCGCTGCTACTACTACTGCTGGTTTCGTAGGTCCTTTAGTTGGTGGCTTGGTCGTGCTCGCTGGTTTTGTAGGTCCATTAGTTGGTGGCTTCGTCGTGCCCGCTGGTTTCGTGGGCCCTTTAGTTGGTTGCTTAGTCGTGCTCGCTGCTACTACTACTGCTGGTTTCGTAGGTCCTTTAGTTGGTGGCTTTGTCGTGCTCGCTGGTTTTGTAGGTCCATTAGTTGGTGGCTTCGTCGTGCCCGCTGGTTTCGTAGGCCCTTTAGTTGGTGGCTTTGTCGTTGACGCTGGTTTTGTAGGTCCATTAGTTGGTGGCTTCGTCGTGCTCGCTGGTTTCGTAGGCCCTTTAGTTGGTGGCTTTGTCGTGCCCGCTGGTTTTGTAGGTCCATTAGTTGGTGGCTTTGTCGTGCCCGCTGGTTTCGTAGGCCCTTTAGTTGGCGGCTTAGTCGTGCTCCCTGGTACTACTACTGTTGGTTTCGTGGGCCCTTTAGTTGGTGGCTTAGTAGTGTTCGCTGGTTTTGTAGGTCCATTAGTTGGTGGCTTCGTCGTGCCCGCTGGTTTCGTAGGCCCTTTAGTTGGTGGCTTTGTCGTTGACGCTGGTTTTGTAGGTCCATTAGTTGGTGGCTTCGTCGTGCCCGCTGGTTTTGTAGGTCCTTTAGTTGGCGGTTTCGTCGTGCTCGCTGGTTTTGTAGGTCCATTAGTTGGTGGCTTCGTCGTGCCCGCTGGTTTCGCAGGCCCTTTAGTTGGTTGCTTAGTCGTGCTCGCTGGTACTACAACTGTTGGTTTTGTAGGCCCTTTAGTTGGTGGCTTTGTCGTGCCCGCTGGTTTTGTAGGCCCTGTAGTTGGTGGCTTCGTCGTGCCCGCTGGTTTTGCAGGCAGTTTAGTTGGTGGCTTAGTCGTGCTCCCTGGTACCACTACTGTTGGTTTCGTGGGCCCTTTAGTTGGTGGCTTAGTAGTGCTCGCTGGTTTCGTAGGTCCTTTAGTTGGTGGCTTTGTCGTGCTGGCTGGTTTTGTAGGTCCTGTAGTTGGTGGCTTTGTCGTACTCGCTGGTTTCGTAGGCCCTTTAGTTGGTGGCTTAGTCGTGCCCGCTGGTATTACTACTGTTGGTTTCGTAGGCCCTTTAGTTGGAGGCTTAGTTGTGGTCACTGGCACTGCTACTGTTTGGTTTGTAGGTGGTAGTTTTGTTGTTGGTTTTGGTGTCACCGGTATTTTTGTTGTACCGACATTAGTTCCGTTACCTCCAGTAACTTCAGTTGAGGAGAAGCTGTTATCGTATGCAACTGAGAGCGGTCTGTGTCGCACACCACAGTAGTTGATATTCCGTGCGAATCTGAAGTAACCCTGAAACATGCAAATTATATTCTACATAAAGAGATCGGAATAATGTTTACAGTGTCTCTTTAAACTTCAAATGCTGTGTGAGGTATCTGCTCATTTAGCCACGCTCCATGCAACAAAAATTGTTGCGTTCTACCACAGTTTATAGGCTTTATGTTGCTAATGTCGCTATGCAACGAGCATTGTTCCAGTTAGCCACAGCAATGAAATGGACTGCATTTTGCAATTAGGAACTATAAATTCTGGCTCAGTATAAAAACAATGTATGAGCCATTAGTTTCCTTATGCACGTAAGTGTTTTTTCGGATGAGCCAGAAATTATAGTTCCAAATTGCAAAATGCAGTCCATATAGTCTTTGGATAAGTCTTTCATACTCAAAGGGAATCATTTCTCCTTCAATATTATTGTGAATTTGGTAAGAGTGGTCGTATTGAAGGCCCAGCATTGATAGAGAACACATTCCTGTACCTTTTAAAGTTTTAGTGAGTGTTTTCAAGCAAAGTTCTCTAGAACGGCTTACGTTTTTCTGATTTAGATCACTCACCCAGCGACTGTAAGTAATATCTCAACTATTAGTATACAGTTCGAGCGCAGAGTCTTTCGGATGGTGTCTCTTTTTCTTGCACATGGCCCATTCCCTTTTTTTTTGCCAGGTTGCTCATTTTAAAATGATCTATCGAAAGAACAGTGTTCTACGTCAAAGCCTCAGAGCAAATGCGTGCGCACAGTATTATGATTAAATTTATTTCTCCTCTGGTAATTCTTTATCTCGGCCTGTCTTTTTCGACTGAAGTATCTAGTTAGAAGGTCATAAGTCATCGTGAAAGGAAATTATAGAGACGAAAAAAGTGCTTCAAAAATATTTCGTCTGCGTGAACCGGAAAGAGATACAAATAGTGATATAGGATACATGATATCCATACTTTCTCCCCAGCAGAAGGGGAGGGGGGCAGACACTTCAAAAGCTTCACCTACGTTCTCTGAAAATGCGCAAAAATTCTCCGTTGAATACTTACATATCGATGGTGAAACTACCAGACCACGTATCTCGTTTGCGGTGTTTAAAAATCTCCACTCACATTTTATTTTTTTGAGGGAGATCAAATCAATATCATTCCTTACAATTTTCACAGATTTTTCTCCGCACAAAGAGGAATAATCACGGAAGTTTTCACGAATTGACGTTGAGTAGTTTTCTACTTAAAAAATAAAGTATGACAGGAAGTCTGCCATATCGCAAACTGAGATACGTGGTTTGGTAGTTTCACCATCGATATTTTTCGCTTTGTTTTATTTTATTTTATTTTATTTATAGATGCGCTACTCACTTTTTCACCCCAATCTTTTCCAAAGCTGTTTTTCGCGATCCAGTACGGGAAGTCGGCTCCACCATACCCTGAAAATGAACAGAAGAAAAAAGTTGCACTGAAGGTTGTTGCGGAATTTAAGAAAATGATAGGAAAAGTATAATTACATGCAAAGTATTTTAGACCAATCGCAGCATAGGTTTACCACCAATAGACCACTGGATAAGGTACGAATTCCAAATATGTTAGGCCCCTCTTTGCCATCTTGTTGTTGAGCTGGTGCGCATCTGTTCCATTTGAATGCATTGCCACTAGCATTCTAGGCGGTTTGAACTCAAAAAGCGCTCCCAATGGAGATGATGCATGTGTGAGAAACTTGCGTTTTGACTGTTGATTCTTACGTAAAAGTTCGCGAGAAACACGACGGTGCCATTGGTTTTCTCTGAAATCAACTCCCAAGCTCAAAAAAAGCTCTCAAGTGGAGGCCAAAATGGAGGGGATATCCCACGCTATCCTGAGAGTCCACCTCCACATCAAGACAAACTCTCCATACAAAGATGGGGAGAAAATACATTGACAGGGCTGCAACTTTATTTGGGGACTCTAAAACTGAAAACACGGCAACCCTGCTAATGTATTTACTCCCTATCTTCGCATGGAGAGTTTGTCTTGGTGTAGAGGTGGACTCTCAGGATAGCGTGGGATATCCCCTCCATTTTGGCCTCAACTTGAGAGCTTTTTTTGAGCTTGGACGTTGGTTTCAGAGAAAACCAGGATGCACCATCGTGTTTCTCGCGAACGTATACATAAGAATTAATTGTCAAATCGCAAATGCCTCAGACATGCAACATCTCCATTGGCTGAGCACTCAAAATGGTGGCGCGAGGGAATTCCTCTCCTCAGTGTTCCTTTTGGTCCGATCGTAAAAAAAAGGGCTCAAGTCGAAACTGATAGTAAGATATAATGAATTCATATTTAAAGGTATGGCAAAGACTCCATTATTGAAGTAAACTTTGATAATCGATCCTTTTCCGTAGGATTAAATGGTATATAATTCAATATTGATTCATTGTGAAGTGTTTATCATTGATTATCGATATTTTCCCATTTAAAGGTAAAGGATCGATTATTACGGTGCTTGTAGCAAACACCTTGATAATCGATTCTTTTCCATGGGTTTAAATTGTAGATTCTGTTCATTGCAAAACATGCAGCGATACTTACGTTGCATTCCATAGCCGACCAGCGTGACGAAACGATTCGGACTCAATGGACACTCACTAGCATCTATGTTAGAGATTCCACTGACGTAAAACTGAAACATTAAACCCACAAAATATTTGTAAGTCCCGTCCATGAGTATTGTTGCTTCAAATTGTAGATGTAACTTTTTTTTTATGACTCAAGATTTCAAAAACATTATTTTTCCAGCATCAGTTTTCCAGACAAAGCGGGTTTACGAAATTTTAATTTGTAGTACCCTATAAGAGCTCGGAAGAGTCTCATAATTATTTTTCGATGTACCGTAAATTTGACCCTTCCTGAAATCTGGACGTCATCAATCTGGCGTCCGATATATCGTATCGGTTCGGTTGAAAATTTAGGAAACTTATTTACTTCAGGTGTAAACAATGATGAAAGCTTGTCAAATTTACAGAATACAAAAAAAATCGCAAAATTCCGATGAATAAAAACCAGATTTTTAGAGCCATAAGGGTAGTTGCAGTGGCTAGAATTGTAAAGGCACCAGCTAGTAATATAGTGAATCTAACCATACATTCATGCTGACTGTGAGGGCACCAGCTAGAGGTATAGTAAATCCAACCACATTTATGCTGACTGCGAGGGTACCAGCTAGAGGTGTGGTTGTTCCAACCACATATTCAGCTGACTTAACCATATCCTGGTAAAAATTGGCGATAAGAGCTGCGTTTCAAAATACCATAGCAATTCTTATAGCCGGCTAAAGAAGGCTACAGAAAATGATAAAGCTGGCTGTAAAATGCGGAGAAAATCATACGGCCGGGCTATACGAAGCGATAAAAAATTATGCAGCCGGGCTATAGTTCCTATCACCGGGCTTTACACTTTATCGCCTGGCTGTTGCTTTTTCGCCATCGATTATAAAAGGCTATAAGAAATTGTGTAGAAATTCGTGTGCTTTGGAAATCATTAAGTTTGGTACGGAGCCACCTTAATATTTACAAAACACACGTTATATTTTCCTTTAATACATATTTTTTTTCATCAATTAAAACGAGAATAATCCATACAGGATGTGCAAACATTTCAAAATCATGAGTTGAATAACGCTGACTCCGCCAGATTAAATATTAGAGCCTAACACAAAGCGGAGCGGCGACGCACTGGCGCCTACAAACCTAACAGGGCTACTTCACGCATTGCGCAACGCGTGAAGTATCCCTGTTAGGTTTGTAAGCGCCAATGCGCGTTTTGCGCTGGCCGCCCGCCTGCCGCACCGCAGCGTGCCACGGCGCTTGAAGCAACTATTTCACACGAAAGGTATTGCACAGTATCATACGAAACTGAAGGCGCTCTAATATATTAGGAATGGCAGGCATCCATCAAAAGTACGGAGCTTTCCTCGCAAAATAAATCAAGATACTACGGCCCAAAGAGAGAGCAGTGGTCCAAAAACTCACTAAGTCCTAGCATCCGTAATTAGTGACGTTTCGCATACACTTTATCGCGTGACTGTGAGTTGCTTAATCGCCATCGGCTATAAAAGGCTATAAGAAATTGTGAAGCCGGCTATAGAAGCTATTGGAAATCTTACAGCCGGTCGTAGGTCTATGGTATTTTGGAACACAGATTCTACTGCCAATTTTTACCAGGGTACCTCTGGCTTGTGCAACTACTCTCATATCTGACACCAAAATCAGTTAGGAGCATAGCTGGGCTTATTATGTTCAGGTGCCACGGAGAGGTANGGGGGGGGGGGGGCTGTGTGTGTTCTCTCTTTGTTTCTGGGAAGAAAGCTCGCATACTTGCATATCCTTGGCGTTGATGACGACAGCAATCGGTCCCTGGTTGTAGACCCAGTTCTTCATGCTTTCTTCATCTCGGTTGTTGACCTCGATGTAAGCAACCCTGGCGGCAGCGCCATTCTTGAGGGCGCAATCCTTGGTCTTTGGGCTGTAGACGGCCTTCGACTGGATTCCCTTCATGTTGACGATCTTCGTGAAGGCGTCCCAGTGGTTCCCTCGCGAACATGTCACGGTCGAACAATCGATCAGCTCTGAAACAGCACGATTTCGTCACGATCCCTGTTAAAATCCATCATTGTGATATCATAAAATAATTCGGCCTAAATGACGAAATATCGATATCATTTTAAGTCAACCGGATATCAATTTGATCGTTGTGATATCATAAAATCATTCAGCCTAAACGACGAAATATTGATATCATTTTAAGTCAATCGGATATCAATTCGATCGTTGTGATATCATGATAATATCGTGTTGAGTGAGCACGCTGCATATGCCATGATGACATCATGTTGATTCAAACGACTTCCATTCATAACGTAATTGTTATAATGCCAAAGTTGTGTCGGTAACGTTTAGCGTACTTTTTTCTTAAAATTTTTAGTTGATTCGTAAGAAATATGAGGCTCAGAAAAACGACGCTAAGTTTTTCTTCTGAAAAAAGGCTGCTCGGAGGTAAGCTGGTGAGGTCAATAGCCCAAGTAGCACATCTTAATTAATTGGCACAGTCAATCGATCTGCCGTTAAAATCTATGTAAAAAGATTGATCATGAGAGTATACCTCAACAATCGATTCTTCATCATTGCTTCGAATGGAAAAATATTGATTGTAAATTATTAATGCCTCGCTACCGCGCGAAATCAACTTATCTTATCTATTTGTTTTTATAAATAAAATGAGAGGCTAATATTTGGGGCTGATTAAATTGTTACCTATTTTATTTTTATATAGAGGGGCGGAGTGCCTCCTCATAAGTTACCCTTAAGGAACGCTTTTTAAGTATACTGCCGTGCTACGGAAAACCGCAGTATGAACCTTTAGGCGTTGCCAAATTTTTTTCGATAAAATACGAATTCATTGGAGAATTTGTAAATCTGTTTCTCCCAATTTTCAGGGCATTTTTGTATGTGATTAAACCTAAAATATCTGACAATTTCGAGGGAAAATATGCATAACTTTCGTGAAAATTACATGTTTTATGCAGGTTTGGCAACTCCAGAATATTTCTCCGGCTTTTTTCCGCGTATCACGGAAGTGAAGGGGTCGATGAGAGACACCTCTCTTCCCCTTCCAAGAATATTTTTACGATCCCACCCCCAATTTTTCAAATAGGTCTTTATTATTTTTCCTCACAGGGGTTAGTCCGAACTGTAAATTGTTTGCCCTCCGCAAAAAAATGTCCCCGGTCCTTTCAAATTACAATTCAGCCACAACTCTAATCACGTGTGTAGGCCGAAGAGGGAAAAAGTATCATTTCTACTTACGCTGTTCAGACAATTTAACAAGATTCTTCGTTGCTTTCCAAAGGAAAGTTTCGATGACTGCAACAGTTGCGTAAGCAGCACTTGCAGCGCAGCTACCCTATAACATATTGTACATCGCAATTAGAGTTGAAGCATGCCAACTCACAGACTCATTTCTTGCATTCCTCAGAGAGCTACAAAAAATTCTACATTTTTCTTGCCTTTATTAAATTTTTTTATGTGAGGTTCATACATTGTATCTTTGGATTATTGTGGCCAGAGTCAGACTTAACAATGTCGATGCCGAAGTCGATATATTTTTTGCGCGAATCACTTAGGGGGAAAAAAGGACATGTGCCTTTTGGATCCTGACTTTGTAACCTTTATGAATCCCTTGACGATGTATCCTCTTGTGATCCTGTTTTTTTTTTTTTTTTTTTTTTTTTTTTTTTTTTTTTTTTTTTTTTTTTTTTTTTTTGTAAAATGAGGCATATTTTGACATTTCCATCGAAGACCTTTCAGTAAAATATTTTCCTTTAGTATCTGACAATTTTTAAATTTTGGAGAAAGGTTTTCCCCTAAGCCTCCAAAATTTAATATATGCCAATTTTTATTCTTTGGATGCGGCGAATGCCGCACTAAAATCCATTAAAACTGCCACATTTGAACGAATACTTATTCTCTATGCAACTATCTGAACATCGTCAGAAAATTCCACTGTGCCCTCTTGTCCACTCGTACTTTAGTTAATTTTAAGTTTGTGCGGGCCATGCTCGTGCTTAAGGTCCTGCATGAACAGTTGCGATGATGGTGAGGCGGTGAGCGTCGCGTCGCGTCGCGCGTCGCTGTGACCGTAAGATCTCTAAAACGCCTTCATTTTGTCTGTATGCAACACTGTATAGAAGCATGTGCGTTGATGAAATAGGTGTATTCAGGTTCGGGACACCATAGAAAAAGAATTCTACGAAAAGAGTCGGTACTTTAACTGACGGCCAGAGTGGGCGCTATCCAGTTTCTTTTGGGTTCATTCTCAATGGAATTGAGGTTTTACCTCAGTTTCTTTCAATGAGTTGGAACTACACGCGTTTCATTTTCCTGTCATATTGTTAGCCAAAGTGCAAAATCGCGTATCTCCGTTGCGACGTCAGACACCTCCTTTAACTTTAACTTTTAACTTTTTATTGTCTTTGAAAAACTAGTCAACATCAGACTTTCTTGATTTTTCTTCTCTTTCAGCAGAATATTCTGTAAAGATTTCAAGTAATAAAGTCGTTCTCTTTCCCATTGAAATAAATTAAATTCGAGTAGAAATTTTGATTTATTGCAATTAAGATACGTGGTTTTGCACTTTAGCCATCGATATACTTCCGAGCAATTTTTCACGAGTTCGTATAAGTCATCGTTTGAGTCTTTACCGAAACCACTAAAATCACTTAATTCATACACTGTAAGAGTTTGAATGGTTGTGTATTCGAATTACCTCGTCCTGGATTTCTGTGACAGCACCCTTCGATTCCCAGTTGAAGTCAGTTTCGGCATCAGCCCAGTCGCTCAGGGTGTTCGTGTTGGGAAGGTGCGACATGTCTCCCACATTGTGCGTAGCATGTTTCTTCAGAAACTCGTCACCTATCAAAAAGCAAATCTTAAGTAAAACATCTGGGTGAATCTAGAGGGTACCTGTATAGGTGGAGTGCACACATGTCGGTAATTTTGAGGTTTGGCCATGAAACTTTTAGGGCCTAAACGGGCTGCCAACTCACGAGTTCAAATTATTTAGAGTGATTTATACAAACCTTTGAGGTTCTAAGGGTGGTTCCATTTTACTTAATTTACAAATCGGAAAATCGACAGTTCTAAACAAAACTAAAAATTAAGTAAAATCTAAAAAAAAATCGAACAAAATCCCGAAATCGACGGTTCTAAACAAAACTATTCATTCTTCTGCAGAAGGGTGGTTGTGGGGTTGGGGTGGAGTACCCCACTGAAAAAAAACTCGGTGTATTTACTAAGAAAAGGGTAAAATTACCAAGAATTCAGGGTTCTATTTGATCCCAGTTTTTTCTTGGTAAAATTACCATTTATGGAATTGGTAATTTTACCAAGAAATCTCGGTAAAATTATTGAACTTTCTCGGTAATTTTACTGGACCTTCGTAAAAACGCCAATATTTTTTATCGACTGCGTGGTAGAATTACCGAGATAAAATGGCAAAGTTACCGGAAATTGATTACCAATAAAAGTGGTTTTCTTACCTGAAAAAAACAGTAAAAATACCGGTTTCTAGGTAAGCTTATCAGTCTGTCTTGGTAAAATTACCAATAATTGGTAAAAAAAGTGAGATGGTAAAGGTACCAACGGACCTTGGTTGAAGACGACGAGAATTTTTTTCCGAGAATTTTTTTCAGTGCCCCCCCCCCCCCATAGCCTGGGCTCCGTCACGTAGCTGAGTTACCTTCAAAAAGGTGTTTACTTCCGCATCGAGTGAACTGGGCCGCCCCTCCCGCAAGGAAGACAGTTAATCGCGGGAGGGGGGCTGAAATCATTCTGGACGAAGCTGATTTGATCAAATTAAAAGGAGCAATTGTACATTTTTACTCACTCGTCAAGTCGGCAAATTTCGTGACTCCATACACGACAGTTCCCTTTCGAGGCCGATTGTTCAGTCTCTCAATCTCCTTCAAATTTTCCTTGAAAATTTGAAAGCGCTTCGCTTTCTCTCTGTCTTCGGGGTATTTTTTATTGTATTTTGCCACAAATTTGTCGAACTCTGTCGCAGGATCACCCTAAAACAGATAAAATACGATTCTTAGGGGAAACCAGGCAACTCATGGACACGATACAAAAGGAAAAAGAAGACGGAAGAAAGAAGTAGGCGATAAACAAGGAAAGGAGGGTGTGAAGGACAGGGAGGAATGGAGAAATACAGTAGACTCTGGATTATCCGGATTAATTGGTGCCGGGCCCTATCCGGATAAAAAAAAATCCGGATAATAATAGTAAACACGAACACCACCAACCAACACCACAGTATTCTTTATAAGAATACTGTGTACATGTACACAGTACACTGTGTGTATGTATACATTATATGTATACATCATGTACATACCAACACGAATTTAAAAGGTTAACGCCAAATTGAACGACTCAATGGTAATTGTGAATGGTAGCCGACAACGATAAATTACAATACAACGATTAAAGCGCGCAATGCGTGAAGTATTCATACAGTCTTGTAGCCGCTAATGTGCGTTTGAGGCTAACTAACCGACTGCACTGCGTTTGGTGTAATGCGAGAAGTATTTATGCAATCTAGTAGGCGCTAATGCGTTCTACGCCGACCTCACTGTTGGCGCAATGCGTGAAGTATTCCATCAGCCTTGCAGGCGCCAATATGCCTTGCGACCGCTTCTCCGCGGATCCGCTCACTTATCGGAATGCGTACGTAGTTACATGCGGTTGCAAAATCGATCTGCATAATCCACAGTCCGGATAATACGAAGCCGGATAATCCAGAGTCTACTGTAAACCTTTTTTTAAAAAATATTTTCGCAATGATATTTGAATGTGCGAAATATTGTAGATATTTGTATTTTGAAAATGATTTGTTTCAAGTGGGTATGATGCATAAGGAAAACAAAGGCACTTTACTTTTCGGCGCTTGAGCCCCATTCGAAAAAAAGCGGTCCGATTCTATCATCTATACTATAAGCTCCGAGACCTCCTAATTTTGCGTAACTGGTAACGCTTAGTTCCAGCCTTCTACCGGGCCGATTTTCATGATTTTTGCGGCAATCGACGGGCAATTGTCTCTAGATTAGCCAACTCTTTTCAGATTTTCAAAATATGGACCAGGTTTTTTTATATTACGTGGTAAAGTTGCGAATTCTCCCATTTAAACAATGTAAATTTATACTTTTTGTCATAGTTCGTTTGAGCGTTCTACCGGGCCGATTTCCATGATTTTTGCGTAGATCGTCAGGTAATTGGCCCTAGATGAGCCCGCTCTAATTAGATTTTGGAAATAGGACCCAGGTTTTTTTAAAATCACGTTATAAAAGTGAGTGAGTTTACAGAATGCTCCGGTACTGCTACCGCTATGCGCGGGAGGATGCGCAGTGGTCGAGGAGGTTGCGCAGTAGCTGTGTAGCCTGCGCATCAGATCTACACTTATCTACACAAGATTTGCACTGATGACTTCATGTTGAGCGGTGGCCGAGTCGTCAAAGACGTCAAATGCGCTCACTATGAACTCGGTGTGGGTTCGATCCCCGACTCCTGAATTTATTATTATTACCTGACTATCATTGTTCATTGTTTTACTGCAATATTCCATCAAGCAGTCATTCCGAAACGCGTCCTCTTAATTTTAAAGTAATTTTAAGTAAAGTTTAAAATTAAAGTATACCTCATATCGTAATTGTTTAGGGGAAAAATAAAACTAACACTGATAAAAGGGTAAAAATAGGGCCGCGAAGCGGCCCATTGATGGCGCGGAGCGCCTTCAGGGGGTTGGGCCGCGTAGCGGCCAGGGGGCGTAGCCCCCTAGTTATCAGTATATGATACCAATATTTTTCCTTTCTAAAAACCATGCCTTTAGGTATCAAGTTAAATTTGTTTGTCAAAATTGATAAGTGAATTCTTTAGTCTCCGGACAACAGAATTGCGATCTCAAAATTCGAAAAAATATGACAAGTAGCTGAGGAAATGGAACTAATCGGTGCGATATATCGCACGTCGTTCTCACGCAAAATATAGCGTCCATCGAATCAAATTAAATAAAAAAACTCAAGGTTTAGTCTGTCATGCTAAGGAAGAACGCCGTATGAGCCTACAGACGTTGCCAAGTTTACTCCGATAAAAACCGGATTTACAGGGAAAATTGCGAATATTATTTTCCAAAAATTTTAGACAATTTTGTACGCTATTCAATCCAAAATATCTGGAAATTTCAAGGAAAAGTATGCATGAATGTTGTCAAAAATACATGTTTTATCGAGGAGAATTTGACAACTCTCGAATATTCATACGGCGTTCTTCCTTAGCACGGCAGAAGTGAGCATTTTACTTACCTTAGTCGGTGCCTTTGTGGGCTGAACTGCGCCGTCGCTGGTGGTGAAATGGCCGCAGAACACCGCCAGGAGCCCGACGAAGAGGAGCAACCTCATGCTCGTGCTCGAATCCTCCCGCCGTTTTCTTCAGAAATCCGTTAGGATATCCAAATGCCTCTGAAATTTCACAAAATACCAGGACTGAAATTATAGTTTCAATGCTATCGGGCATATCGACGGCGTAGGTCCGCAATCACATGTCTCTTTCGCGGTGTCTGAAAATCTCCGCCTCTATGTTACTTTTTTTAAAGTATTCCTCGAAGTTTTTGCAGAATTTTCTTCGCACAGAGAAGAAAAATCACGGTAGTTTCAAAGAATTGGACGTATTTCTATCAAAGGAAGCTGTGTGCCAGGGCCGGATTTACCTACTTGCCGCCCATGGGCCGCTTGTATTTTGCCGCTCCCTTCTCATTCGTTTTGAAACATCAATGGAAACCATCAAATGAACGTGCCAGCGGGGGAGGGGTGCATAAGACGCGTTTACTGGTGTTGAACACATTTTTTGAGAAAGCCCTGTCAACACTACTAGCAAAAGTTCACGGAACTTTCGTAAACCTATCTCTGTGTGGACAAGGCCTTCCATTCATAAGAAATGAACGAAAAAATTATGATCGAACGAGCATAAATGTAGATTAATGATTTTAACTTCCGCCGCCGCGCCTCGCACTGTGTTTGACGCAATGCGTGAAGTATTCACGCAGTCTTGTAGGCGCTATGCGTCTCACGCTGTTCGCACTGTGTCTGCCGCAATGCGTGAGGTATTCATGCATTCTTGTAGGCGCTAATCGTTTCACGCTGTCCGCAATGACCGCACTGTGTTTGATGCAATGCGTGAAGTATTCGTGCAGTCTTGTAGGCGCAAATATGTGATACATGCCGATCGCCGCGCCGAGGGCTTCTCCTTTTCATCTCAAGTCCTCGTCATCATTTCTCTCTAGGGAAGTCGCGACGTTCCAGGCCAAATTGTGTGTTTGGTTTCCCTCTTAACTCGACTAATTAAAGGTGCTGTCTCTTGTATCACTGAAAGACGACAAAAGTAGAAATTACTATACCCTCAGAAAATTAGAGATTTTGTCGCCTTTTCTCGTTTGTAATTTTTTTTCTAAATCCGATTTTTTTTTATACCTACATTTAAAAAAATTTCAAAATTTGCCGCCCCCTATAGATTTGCCGCCATGGGCCGCGGCCCATGTGGCCACCCCCTTCATGCGGCCCTGCTGTGTGCATTGTGACGTGATCCTTGTTATGGAGGTATGCTCATGAGTCTCAGGGCTCATGTCTTAATGCACATAGTCCCGTTTGATAGAAATACGCCCGATTGCTGTTGAGTAGTTATTCGTTTGGAAAATAATGTATGATAGGAATTTTGCGACGTCGCAAACCGAGTTATGTGATTGCCGACTTCCACCGTCGACATTCCTTTTGTCTTCTTCTCCCTTTTTCCCTAATATTTCTCATTGAAATTGACGTATTTCTGCTAAAAAGATCTAGAGACGGGTGGGTAATATGGGCCGCAGCTCTCGGGAGCACGCCCCGTGGGGCGTGCTCCCGAGGGCTGCACAAGAACGCAGTGTAAAAGTGGACGTGATTCGTTTTGAGGAAGCGGAAAAGTGAGATTTTACATTAAATCAAACGGAACTAAGCGCCAAAATAAACGGCACTCATGAGCCCTGGGCATATGAAAAGAGCGTCGTGGACAGGGCTCATGAGTTGAAGACCTCCACGGGCGACTGGGGTGGCGCCGCCGACCAAGGAGACTGTCCAAAAAAACCATTGGGGGTTTGAAAGAATCACGAGGGGGTTGCAAGGAACAGGCCACGCAGCAACAATGTGGAGCAAAAAAAAACGAATGATCTTGAATGCTATCATATCGGATTCTATATTCTGTTATATTGTATTGTATTCTATTCTATTCTAATGTGGAAATATTCAAGAAGGGATGATTATAACAAGAGGGTTGCAAAAAAGGATCGGAGAAAGGGGTTGGAAATGGCACAAATGTTGTTCCAAAGGTTCTGTCATACTGGATTCTATTTTCGATGATCTATTATATTATCGTATTCTATTCTATTGTAGAAATATCTGAGAAGGGTGGGTTATAACTAGAGGGTTGGAAAAGATCATCGAAGATTGGGGTCGAAAATGATGCAAAGGTTGTAGAGGACCAACCTTGAGACGAAAGCAAGTGACGTTAGATTCTATTTCATCGTATTCTATTTCCAATAAGTTTTCTATTCTAATTGTATCGAATATCATCCCTTCCTATAGAAAATCGATGAGGTGGGATCACCATACGAGGATAAGGGGTAGGATAAATCATCGAAGGAGGGAGGGGAGGTGGAAAAATTATGAGGGGGTTGTAAGAACCGAGACCGAGGTAACGAGTGACCTTGGATTCTATTCTATATCGTATTCTATTTCCGATAACTATTCTATTCTAATTGTATATCCAATACCGTCCCTTCCTGTCGAAAAATCGAGGGAGTGGGATCATCATTGAAGAATCGAAAAATTATGAGGGGGAGTCGACAACGAAGTGACGGGTGACCTTGGACTCTATTCTATCGTATTTTGTTCCTAAAATCTATTTTATTATATTCTATTCTATACCTTCTATTCCGGTGTTTCCGAGGCTGAGTGAGTCGACGGAGCTCGGGATCGGCCGTGCGCCGACTTGAGATCGTACTGATTTTGAAATTTCGATGGCGGATCATGGCGGCTAATTGCAAATCACCCTCGCAACAGGTACTCGAAGGCGTCGAAATTGGTCTCGGCGACAAATGAGTGTCTTCGCGCGGCCGTAAAACGCCTCAACGACCGCGTTTAATGGCTGAGAAGATTGGATGAGCCGCAAAATTGTCACTCATGGCGGTGTTGGTGCCGGCAGAGAAGCATGCAACATCCGTCAGATCTCTTCGATCTGATAAATGGAGCTGTTGCATGAGTGAGGAATTCGCGATTTGACTGTTGATTCTCACGTAAAAGTTCGCGAGAAACACGATGGTGCCACTGGTTTTCTCCGAAATCAACTACCCAGCTCAAAAAAAGCTCTCAAGTTGAGACTAAAATGGAGAGGATATCCCACGCTATCCTGAGAGTCCACCTCTACATCAAGGAAAACTCTCCATGCAAAGATAAGGAGCAAATACATTAGCAGGGTTGCCGTGTTTTCAGTTTTAGAGTCTCCAAATAAAGTGGCAACCCTGCTAATGTATTTGCTCCCTATCTTTGCATGGAGAGTTTGTCTTGATGTAAAAGTGGACTCTCAGGATAGCGTCGGATATCCTCTCCATTTTGGCCTCAACTTGAGAGCTTTTTTTGAGCTTGGGAGTTGGTTTCAGAGAAAACCAGTGGCACCATCGTGTTTCTCGCGAACTTTTACACAAGAATCAACAGTCAAATCGCAAATTCCTCATACATGCAACATCTCCATTGCCCTGCAATTCGCGCCTGGAGGGATCGACTCCCGGAAAATTCAGGCTTTGATGTACTCTCCTACGAAACTTTGCAAGGCACGTGCTCATCCTGACCTGTTTCGCAAAAAAAATAACAGCATACACACATAGTTTTGAAAGAAACCAGGAAACTTCTTCATCAGGAATGGGTCAGTTGCACTGGTTGCTGCTTCTGCTTTTCTATTAATGGTTTCATGATAAGTGCTAATAATAATGCACTATTTCTCTTGGGTTAAGGTGATTTCGCTTGGCGTACGATCAGAAAACAAAACCGATCGTATTCAGTGGTTATCATCCCCTCTATCTCCAATTTTTCACGAGGAATAAGCGAATCTTATTCACGTGCCAAGCAGTAACTTTGAATCCGATTTTGTAGTCAACCCAGTAATTATCCGAACGGCAACTAAGCGCATTGCATGAATCTTGTGTTGAGCTCCTGAGATCTTATGAAGAAGTTTTTTAAAAAAAAGTTACGTAAGAATTTGTGTAGTATCCTCGATACATTATTTTTGCACCAAAACCAAAAGAAAAATATTGTGGGGTTGCGACTTGCGAGTAGCTATAACGCAATGGACTTTCAGCAATGCGATCCAGGTTTGATGTTGGCGGATTGCACCAGATTTTTAACAAATTTTCTTCATTTCGACCGAAAGATTTAGTCAATTCAACGCAAATAAAATCCAACAAAAAAAGTTAACCTGCCCTTACTTTGTGCTCTACTACCCATATTAACATAAAATGTCGGGTTCTGTTTCTTACTGTCAGGGGTTCTCTCACTTTTAATCGGATTAATCCCAGAAAAATGTAATTTTCAAACTGCATTTTTATCTCCCATGCATGGCAATATTTCAGTAAAACTGGATGCATCAATCGTTCAAGTTCATGAAGTAAAAATAAAAATACCTTCATGGGCCAGAGAGAGAGAAAAAAGGGCCGAATCACGGCTATAAAATGAAAAAGAAAAGAAGAAAAAAATCGACACACGTGGTCATGGATCGTCAAGATTCATTCCTCCCCATCCACCGATTTTGAGTTGGTGCCGCTGAGTTAGGAGCCTCTGAAACGCCGCGCCTTGCAGCCGTTCTGCTACCCCCCTCCTCGTCCGTCCATAACCCTCTCTCCAGCAGCTCGCATATTTTAAGCTGCGCGATGACTACCGTCAACGGCTTGCATTCAGCTGGAACAATTTCAGATCGATCATGCTAAGTTACGTGCAGCAACCTGCATGACCTTATTCAGTACCATAGTTTTGTGCAATTTTTCATGAATGTATAATATATTATACTAAAAAACTTTGAGAACATTTCCAAGAATCCGAACATAATCAGACCAATCACTGGTAAAAAAACCTCTTGGTTCAAAAGTGCAGTTTCTTGTCGCCAGATTTAAGAGTCTGGACTCTTGTTTCAATGCAAAATTCGCTTGAAACAAGAGTTCAAGACTCTTAAATCCGGCGACAAGAAACTGCACTCTTAAGTCAATGCAACGCGGCATTGGTCCAAGAGGTTTTTTTTGCCAGTGACTGGATAACCGCGGTCTAATTGGACTACATTTTGCAATTCGGAACTATAATTTCTGGCTCATTTTTGAGCACACTTTTGTGCATAGAAAAGCTAATGGTACATACGTTGTTTCTAAACTGAGTCAGAAATTATAGTTCCTTATTGCAAAATGTAGTCCAATTGGTCCATGCGAGAAAAGCAATTCAAACCGATTAACAAGAGCCTATATGTATAAACCCTTTTCTTAATAAATAACCGACTCTAAAAAGTTACCCATCCAGCCCAGTTGCGCGTAAATTGTTTAGGTGCTTTGTTTCGCTGTGTGTTAAGCTGTTTGAAGTATTTGCGTGATTGCGTATTTCCTGTTGCAAGAATGTTCATCTGTTTTCAGCGGACAATATTACTCAATATATACGTACAGTGTCTCGCGCGCTTTCATATCAGTTCGCCGTCATTGACCCGAGTAGGCAATCTGTGCGGCTGAGGAGCAGTAATAGTTGCTTGCAGCTTTGTTCATTTGTGCTATAGCATTCGCGAACTAGTACCCGTCCGCAGACGGTGTTTGCTGATTGTTGAAATTAATAGACAAAGCTATAGACAAGGGAGATAAAATGGACATGGAGTAATCCTACCGATGGAAACGAATGGTTTCGATAGACAAAGGACGATAATAATAAACTTTCTATCAGCAATCCACGAGATACTCTGAATTAATCCATCATTTTTCCCTTTAGCCTATAAGAACTACCCGTTTCAACCTCCATGTTCCCTCTATCTCCTTTATCCATCACTGTGTCTATCAATTTCAATTATCAGCCCGCTCCTCGAAAAGGGGGTTGAAACCACTGAAACCATCTAGAGACGTCCGAGGCTCTGTGTTAATTTATCAGCCTTCGTCATAGCTTTATCAATTTTCTTGTGTTTTTTATTTCACTACGTGACTAAACACAATGTTTCTGTAACCGGAAAGTAATTTTCCTCTGCGTAAAAGTATCGGCTGTTTGCTTCTGATAGTGTGGCAGCATTGCCCGATGAAGAAGCCTGCATGTGTGCAACATTGAGCGCGCGCCATCCCCGTATCCCTGTCATCGGAGATCCTGAGTGCCTTCATTCACGCCTCGCACTTTGCACCTCCGCCTCCGCCTCCGCCTCCCCCGCTCCTACCCCCGG